TACCGTGGTTCTTGGCCTCCCACTGGCCCTTCGCTAACTCACGCCACTTGCGCTCGTCGTAGGAAGAAGTGGCAGCTAACTTATGACCCAATCCTCGAGTTCGGGCACCGCTGCGGGCGCCCAAGCATTAGCTGCTAGAAGAAGTATAACAACATTATGAAATATGGAAGCAAAGTATGAATAGGTACAGGGAATACGAACTCCACTTACAGTTAAAGTTCCACCTCTCCGGGAATGGCATTTTATCCTCGGGGATGACATCCGAAGTCTTTACTCTAACAAACCGGCTCATCCAACCCCGATCTTTGGGATCGTCAGTACCGGCAAAGAAGGATTTTGTTGTTCGGCGCTGCAGCTTGATGAGCCCTCGAAATAACTAGGGCCGATACAACCGAATCAGGTGGCTGAGGGTGAATTCCAAACCTCTAGCCTTCTCAGAGAAATACCGCAATATGATCACGATACGCCAAAAAGAAGGGTAAATCTGACCAAGGGTGACTTCGTACTTTCTGCAAAAGTCGATCACAACTGGATCGAGGGGACCCAGTGTGAAGGGATAAGTGTAAACACTCAAAAACTCCTCCTTGTGGGTAGTAATGCTTTCATTAGGGCTCGGGATCTGAACCTTGACCTTATCCCCCCAGCGATAGTCCCTCTTGACATCCTTGATGAGCTGCTTCGTTATCAAGCTAATGCATCGAGATACGTGCTCGCATCGGCCTACGACATCGGGAGGATTCTCGATGCTGAAGTCTTTCTTAATAATGCAATTACTGAGAGTGATTTCCTCAAGTGTAGGTGGCACCACCGATTTGGCCGATCGAGAAGCAGAAGAAGACGATGCTTTATCCTTTTTGGGGACCGTTTTGGAAGTTTTGGCCATGGTTGTAAGATAAGCAATACAGGTTACGCTAGGATGTGGTATTTCAGGCAGGAGCTTGGTGTTTTCCGGCGCTTGAAGAGGCGGAGGAAATAGGTGATTTGAGAAAAAGATGAAGATGGCAAAAGGAAGAAGAAAGAGTAAAGTTCTTTATTTGAAGAAATTGCCTCATATTTATAGGAGCGCAATGACGGTTCGGTGGCATTAGTGGCCGACCAATTCTGGCTTGCATTCAATGTTTTTGGGGAAATGGACCAACGGGACATTTTGGTCACTTTGAAATACTTGCATCACAGGGATGACGTCATCACTAAAGACTACGGGAATCCAAATCGTTTCATATCATTTCATTCTAAGAAACGCAGGGACTATCTGTATACGGTTAAAATCAATGAGCCCGATTTCAAAGTCTTAAATAGGGCTTTGAGTCCGAGTCCGGGCGACTCGAAGTGAAGATCGGACCCGGTTGAAGGAAACACAACTCGAGGAAGCAGATCGAAGGCCTGGCACGACCTACATCGAGGGCAGCACATTCTCTAAAACACTTAAGAAATAGCGAGAATTTCTCAAGAACACGTGGATCAGGGCATAAATTATAGGATAAGATCTGTATGAAATAGTACAAATCCGCACTAGATTGTTATACAACTGTACCAATATAATTTTTTCCCACAATTGGAAATGTACCAAATTAGGGTTTTCCCTTCTTATATAAAGGGGACCTCAATCATCTTGTAAGACACATTATTCACTGCAATATACTATTCTACTCTGCTTTTCTTGTTTACCGTGCTCAACAAGTGTTCTTCAGCTTTATTATTTTTACTTTATTATTCATATTTCATTGCTCTTAGCTGACCTCGAGAGCCCTAAGAAAGTCGAGCTCGAGGTCCTCATTGTTCTAGCAACACTGGTTTGATTCAGCAATTCTTCTTACTTAAATTTAATATTACTTGTATATTAACAAGTATTAGAATAAATCACATATCTTTAAAATTACAAATCACATTTAATTGTTACCCCATTTTTCGAGGTAAACAATGTGAAATAACTCTATTTCAAATTAAGGTTGAAATTAAGGTAAAATTTTATTAAAAAGGTGACAAGATTCTCGCAATCTTCTGTCCTAAACATATTTGGATTGAGTTTTTAGTTGTCTGATTGACTGATTGATTGACAAGCTATTCGCCAATCTCGCAATAGATCCTTTGTCTCTAAACCCAAAGGCGGGTAGTCCTTAATCGATCTGTTGACCAATTCTTTTTTAGAAAATTTTGAATCACTTTATTTAAATTTTTTATTTTTTCCAGAATAATTTTTAAATCGAAAAATAAGTTAGATAGCATAAAAATCGTAAATATAAGATAAAACATAGTCCGGAACTTGCAAAATTGAACATATTGGCGTCTTTGGCCATGTAATATTATTTTAGTATGGTTAAACACTGACTTTTAATATTTACAAATTGTTAAGCTATAAGTATTTGTAAATAGTATTTTACTTTCAAGTAAATATTGAAATCTTGATTCGAAGGTGTATGTCAACTCGTGATTTCTCCTTACAAATCTTTTAACTTTTACGGACTTCACTTATTTTAATTTAACAGATTCAATTTAAAATGCTACTATATCTTTTGAGATTTTAACTTATTTATACTACTTTTGAAATTCCTCAATATTAAAGTTTAACTTAATTACAGGTTGATATACAATTTACCAATTATATATAAAATAATATCTTAGAATCTAATCTTTCCATAAAAATTGCACGGGGCGCCCTATTTGGTCGTCCTCATTTAACCTATACCTATCTTTTTTAAAAATTTTAATGTGTACCCAGTTTTTAAACAACTTCGGCCATTTTTTCCTCCTCATTCTCCTCCTTCGTTTTCTTCTTCTTCTTCTTCTATTAACAACTGAAAGGCACTATGACTAATTCTCTAATACTACCACCGTTCCATATATTTGACCAATTAGGCTCAAACTTCCTAGCCTTTCTTCAAATTTATCGTCGAGAAAGATACTGCTAGCTTGAACATCTCTTCAACCAGAAAATACAGAATATAATTAGCTTGGTGTAGAACTTTACGATCACTTGAACTTAATAATGGTTCTGTTACAGACAAAAATCGTGTATATCATCATTTGAGGAGAAAATCAAGAATGTGAAAAAGTGAAAGAAACAAATACCTATGAACAAGGGGAGGATTACACTCATAGTGTAAATAGGCAAAAACTTCAGCTCTAGAGCTGAAGTTCGCCAGTTACAAACAAAAACTTCAGCAAATAGAGAACAAAACTCCAGCTACTATGCTTAAGTTCAGCAATTACAAATAAAAACTTCAGCACACTTGCTACTTCAGTCCTGTCTACTAGAATGCTGAAGTTTTGCGTGATTGTCTTTGCTACTTCAGCCCCGTATGTTGAAGTTACGCGAAAAAGTAGGTACGTTTGCAATTTTTTTTGCAAAGCGGGCACAAGTTAAAACGTGACCCCAAAAAGCGGGTATAGATGCAAATGCCCCAATCTTTCCTATTTTTTCCCGTTCTTCTTCCTCATCCAACCTAGACGCTTAAGTTATGTGGCCCAGCAGTACCACCCAGAAGCTTGTTACATAGAAAGTCTAGGCTCATATTCCTTACCCCTCAACATTAAGCTTTTGTTCTATGAGTATGGACATCCAATTAGGCGATTAATGATAATTTAAATGAAAACTCTTTGAACGACACCGACAATTTGATGCTTGTTAATGGCAGTTTCTTTTTAACAATTTTGGAATTAGAACGTAATTGATATTGCGAAACTCTATTGACAATCATTAAAAAGTTACAAAGATTTGCATTTGAAATTAAAATTTTGTAAAATTATTATTCATTTGGATTGGAGGTTATTGCAAATGATTGAGAATATTTTTTGGAGTTTATACCTCAATTTTGAGAGAATTCAGTGAAGATTCAAGCTAGTTTTGATTGGAATTTTAGATTGAAACTCGAAGAAAAAGACATAAATAAATTGTATGTTGGGTGTAGAAACAACATACAAAATATATACAACTAATATAATTATATATAAATTGTAGGTTTTGACAAGATTCTATATAAAAAAAAAAATTGTATCTAAGTTGTAGATATATTGTAAATTTTGACCGAATTTATATATATTTTGTAAACAAATTTAGTTACTTTCTATAAATATAAAAACTTAGATAACCTAGATAAATCTATACTATATTAAAAGCACGAAGGCCCTTAGCGAAATGTCGTTTGTCTTTTTTACCCTTTTAAAATAAAGTTCACACTAGACAAAATAGTCATTTAATTATTTCCCTAATATTTAGTATTTTGAAGTCAACTAAAAATTTACTTATTAAGGTTTTCCTTATTTGAACGACTACACAAAAAAAATCTAAGTATATATCAAAATTAATTACATTTACCATATACAATATTATAATATTATAATACTAAAAACATGAATGTTTACGTATTATATTTTCTAAGAGGATGTGTATATAATTAATGGAAGGAAACGGCCAAACTTAAAATAGAATAGCTCGACCATAATTTGAAAACTAACAAAAGCAGCAAAATTTTGATATTAAAATAGCTATATAATTAAGCTCTTAATTAACTGATTAAAAATATTAAATTTAATTATTTTTCAAATTTACAAATAACTTTTGAAAGAAAACTTGACAATTGTTCTTCAGGTTCAAANCATATGAGAATTTATGTAGGACATGATTTTTCTTTTAAGCTAGCTAAATAGGAATTAACATTCATCATTTTTAGGATCTTGCTTTTTTTTCTATAATTTTTTTAATAACTCATGCACATTGGTTAATATGGATATGCAATATTTAAAAGTTATATATTCATGACTATAGAGTACACGCGCAAAGCGCGTACACTATGACTAGTAAGTTTAAAATCTCGTATGTATACGAAAAAATCAATCTTTTTTCAATTTCAACTCCTATATACAAATACTATATATAATATGCCAATGTGTAATTGAATAGGGCCAGACCCAGCCCGCTAAGTTATGGGCTCTAAAGCTGGGTCTGATCCATTACTAGTCCGACCCGGCCCATTTGCAGGTCTTTCGAATTTATACTGATATCAAGCAGCTCCAGTAGAAAGCAAAGCTTCTACGAGAGAGATTAACATCGACGATAATGAACCAGGCAGTGCAGAAGAACACTCTGTATGTCGGTAATCCCTCAATCACAACAACCCCATTTCTGTATCTGTTGTTTTCTTGTTGATTCTTGAATAATTTGTGGTATCTGCTGTGTGTGTGACAGGTGGATTGGCAGAGGAGGTAAACGAGGGAATACTGCACGCAGCATTCATACCCTTTGGAGATATTAAGGATGTGAAGACTCCATTGGATATGGCTACCCAAAAGCACCGTTCTTTCGGCTTTGTAACCTTCCTTGAGAGAGAGGATGCATCCGCCGCCATGGATAATATGGATGGGGCTGAGCTTTATGGTCGTGTCCTTACTGTAAACTATGCTCTCCCTGAGAAAATCAAGGGTGGTGAACAGGGTTGGGCCGCTCAGCCTAGTAAGTTCCACCTCTTCTATTCCCCACAAAAAGTAAAAATACAGCTTTTGGTTATCCTTGTACTACATATTGGGGTGAGGAAAAATTGGCCTTTTTATGTGATCTTTGACAATCCGCACCTAATGAGCTGTCTTTTGAGGTTGAGTTAGGCATAAGGTTCATTTCGTAGCAGATATGATTTCGTTTTATAGGATGCTGTTTGATTGAAATGAGATTTGGATGTTAATTTCACTTGTTTTATCATATGAGTGATAATAGAAGAAAATAGCCTTTCTGTTCCCTGGTTTCGGTCTAGTGGTAAGAGCCTAGCTAGTGATGTGTGCCTTAGGCGTACGTCAAGGTTCGAACCCTACTGCAGACAAAAAGCCGTGTATTAATAAGTGGAGAGGGTAGAGGAGTGGGTGCGCCTAGGTTCAAACCCTAATGCAGACAAAAAGCCGTGTATTTACGTGGAGAGGGTAGAGGAGTGGATCCATTATCCACCAAGTTTCAAAGGGCTTCATGTTGTTCTTGTTCTTATTACTTTTACCATGCTATTGCTCATAGCCTCATAGTTATTTGCTTATATGATAGAACTGGAATTGCGATAGCCAATATAAAGAAATGCGGTTCTCCAAAGATTTTACCAGGTTTCTTGGTGGTTATGGGGTTTTATTGATTAGAGTAGAACGGATACAAGGTATTCATATAGTTGACCTCAACTAATCTAGAATTGAGTAGTAGTTGATTGATTTGCTGATACAGTTGAACAACTTGTTATGTTTATAACAGGATATGGTCTGTTTCTCTTTCCTTTTATGTTTTTGTTCTTTTCTGATATATTAAGCTGAGTTAAAAAGCAAGGCACATCCCATGACTTCAAAGTAATACTTCGAAGCATCTATAGATTGAGAAGTATCTGCATTTATGCGCATTTTTTTTAAATAAAAAAAATGGAAAACTGGATCTCTTTGTTCCATACTACATTCTCAATGCCAAACGAGCTTCTCCTTTTCCCTCTTAGCTCAATATTCACATAGGTTGCCCATCTCTGCAGCTGTACTTTTCGTGTCTAATGCACGTGGTTTTGTAATTCAATATATGGAGAAAATTGTTTTTTTCATTCTTAGAGGGGACTGTTCCTGGTAAAATTTTAATCTTAATGATCATTTTAGCAGAAGGCATAGTACGAATTTGGATGACAACTTTTGTGTTTCCTACCCTACTCAACTTTGTCCCATAAAGCTTTTAGAAAAAAATGACCAAATGAAGAACAAGTAGCTAAAGAACCAAACAGCATGTTTTTAAATATTTCTTCTTATTCTGTTTTTAGTTAGTGATTGAAGTTCACTAAATTTTTCCTGCCCTATTTCCCTGCTATGATACCATATAGAAAGGTGGCTTTTATGTTGATATTGTAATTCGTTTGTATGAAAACAACTGTCTTTCTTCAATGTCTATATAATTTATTACCAGTGCCATTTGGAGAAGTAAGTCTTAAACCTGCTATATGTATTAATCAAGCATTTTTTTTTTTTGTTTTTTTAAAGTAATGGTTGTATCCTAACTAGCTTGCACACACTTCGGCTAATCCATGTATACTTGCTACCTTTTAACGACACAGTTATCTAGGAACTCTGTCTACCAAGGTTTAGATAAATGGAAAGAAATCACCTAGCGCTTTTTGATTCTATTGCAATTTGAACCCTGGTCTCTCATGGTCTATTTCAACTTTATTGACTGCTAGACCACACCTTGATTAATCAAGCAATTTTTCTATCCTTTTCCAATTTCATGGTATGCAGTTCAAGCATATAGGTCGCCCATTCTGATTTGTAGAAGAATCCAAGTACATGAAAAGATTAGCACTGTACCTGCCAAAAATCCTCAGTTTAGCATTTTGTGAACCTATTCTACTACTTCGCACTCCTGTATAGGAAAGGAAAAAGTTCAGCAAAAACCAAATTACATGCTTTTGCTATTTTCTTAGGAAAAACCTCGTCTACCACTACTTACCCTAATCTCAAAACAAAGGTGACATTACTGTTGGATAATAAGGGTTGGGCTCTGAACTTGCATAGGCAACATTAATTCTACCGGTTGCTGGGATGTGAACAATTTTCAGCTTTTATGTCGAGTCATGCCCCTGTATGTGTGGATTCTGATTTTTCAGCAAATCTATTTAACTATATTCAAAAATATAATGCTGCGACTTTAGATTACAAGAGCAAAGGAAATCAAATAACATCACATTAAGGAGAACTTTTACTCTTCTTAAAATGCCTGACTACATAGATATTCTTTTGGGAAAATATCCACCAAGTAACTTTTGGCATTTCAAAAAAGGCAGCTAGCTTGAAAATTCAAAGATTTTCATTAACAGTCCATGTAATATAGGATAAACTAGGAAACTTTCTTCAATAGGACCTATGGTTCAAGTCCTATATCCTCCTAGATGAAGCAAGTGTGCTAGATGGTTTCAGAATAGAAATTTACATCATGTTTGAGGTCTTATCAATAAAGTAACTTCTCTCAGATTTAAATCCAAGGCCCTTTTTGAATATTGTGCTATTCGGGCAAATTTTGATCTTTCTAACAGTTTAAGACATGCAAACAAAGGTGTAATAATTTGCATTATAACTAACAGATGCTGTTATCTGAGCTCGTTTAGGTCCCTCCATATACAATAAGCGGCAAGCAAATTCTTGTTGTGCACCTTTGAAGTTGTTTGTGAATTCACTCATCAAAAAATGATCTCAGTTGCTGAGTTTAAACATAGCATCTGATTTCTGCTTCCATATGTTTGTTGGTCAGTGTTAATAGTTAAATGAATGATAGCTTGGCGTTTTTTTTCTCAAGCTCTGCTTTCTTTAGACGATTTTGTTTGGAGAGCATTCATCTCTAGAACTGCTCTTTTGTTAGCTTTAGTTTCTCAGCGATCTGCATGATGTTTGATTGTGTGAATGTGCTCTTTGTATCTTTGTTTGATTAATGAGTAATGTTCCATTTGCCATTTGAAATTTGGAGTGTATTGTGCTGTTCTGTATGCTGACAGTCTTATATTTCCCTTAACTCAGTTTGGGCGGATGCTGACACATGGTTCGATAGACAACAGCAAGAAGAGGAAATGAAGCGCCTTCAGGAAGAGCAGAGGGCTGCAATGCAGGCTGCAGAGGAATTACATAGGAAAAAGATGGCCGAAGAGAGGGATGGGGAGAAGGATGAAGAAACAAATAAGCAAGACGACCCTATGGCAATGGCTGAAGCCGAGGTTTTAAAACAAAATGCTAGTTCTTAGTCATTCTGATGATTTAGCAGTCTTTTTTCAGACTTGTGTGGCGTATTTTAGGAACCCAGTTTGGTTAAACAATTCTACTGCGTTGATAAGTAATTTGCTCTTTTTCTTACTTGACTTGTATCTTATTGTCTTGACACAGTTTTAGCTGTCCTTATGCTACTAACTTTACCTTCCATAATTCGGTATGGAGAGTTGCTGCCTCAATCTCAATCAGCATAAATGATTGAACCCGACTGATTTGGAATTAAAGCATTAATTGATCGATTGATTTGTATAACTGAGTCACTCTAACAATGCCACTAACTGCATATATGCTGATGGATGGAAGTATATCAATCTGTATGTGGAGAATTCTGACTTAGTTTCATGTATCTGCTATAATATTTCTGCATCTCACATTAACTACTGCTGCTGGAACTTAGTTCTAAGGGAAAAGAAGATAGAGAAGAAAGTAAATCTTCCATTTTCCTCCAGTATGCTGGCAGCAACAGTCTGAACTTTTACCCAAATTTTTCCATTTTCATGAATTGTATGATTCAGAGTTAACTTGTTGACCATTTGTTTCTGGAAAATGGTTACATTTTCTAATAATCTTTTTAAAAATAAAAATCTTGTAATTTATCAAAGATGGAATCATATGAAACAAATTAGTAGATAAAATAAAATCTTCTAATAATTCAAAGTAGACCACTTGAAACTCTTGTTTTGGAAATGATTCTTTTCTGGCATAACCTGCTGTAGTTATAGCTCTGCTTGTAGACCATTTTCAAAGTTTGGTCCCAACTCCCTTTTAAAGGGAATAATAAATTACAGATTCAGTTTTTGAGGCTATCTTCCCTCCCTTGTGTTAAATGCATTCAGTAACTTCGTTTGAAATATTATTTAGCTTTCAGCACTAAAGGTATGCATTTACTTTGATCTGTGTGGGCACCAAAATTTCTGATGTTTTCCCCAATAAAAAGACAACCACCACATCAGAAGAGGAGACTGCAGGTGGAATACACTTGATCCATCACAAAAGCCTAATAACCTTTCTAATGAGAAAAGGCATTAAATTTTGGCAGTAAGGAAAGATGAATTGAAATAACCTGACAATGTACTAAGTTCCACATGCCTTCTGCAACATACATTTTTGACATGGAAAATCTGGTCCTACTCTGAATATTTTGTGCCTTCTAGTTTTGAGGCAGCTGCCTTATCCAGATACCACACTAATTTCCCTTTAGTTGGCTGGATCATCTTTGCGGGCGATGACAACGGACACTCAGGCCCGACATCATCAATTGCCAAATGTGCAGCTTCTGCTTTGCTGCTTCCAGTAACAACCACAACCACATTGGAGGCAGAGTTAATGACAGGCAAAGTGAAAGTAATCCTCTCCGGAGGGGGCTCGGGTGAGTCCGTTATAAAAGTCACCCATTCTGCTTTCTCATCAAGTATGTAATGATCAGGGAATAGAGATGCAATGTGGCCGTCAGGGCCCATCCCAAGAAGGATAAGGTCAAACTTGGGGCAGTCGCTAATGTCAGAAACGCTGATTACACGAGTCCTCACAAGCTGTCTTATGACAAACTCATAGTCTTCAGCAGCTTTCTCAGCTGACACTGTGTCGTTAATAGAATGTACATGGCTTGGAACAATAGGGACCTGAAAGGTGAAAGCACACCATAACTGAGAGACACAAAGCCAGACTTACACAACTAATATCAGTACCATAAACCAAATTCCTCTTGCCCTTATAACCGGCCAAACAGTTCATTAGGAATTTCAGTTGTATTAGGGGTGTAGGGCGATTGAAAATTTTTGATGGCGCACTAGGTGTTTTGTGCTGCGAGGGAGGCAGAGATTGAAATAAAGTCTTCGCCATTTAAGTGATCAAGCATTATGTTATTCTGTGTCTGTAGCATATAGTATAATTAAGTCTCTCCTATGACTGGTCCTATGTTCACAAATATATGCATCTCATTTCACAAAACGAATTACGCCTGATACCCATCCCCAGTTGGCTCAGTGTATTCAGTTCAAGAACCCCATGGCTTGGAGGATTCCCTGCATTTTTTACATGCATCGTATGTGGACAATTTTAACATGCCTATTCTTACTCCTGGAAGATTTTGATCTGTATTCTAGTGAAAGATTAAGATCTCGCTGCGGTAAACTCAATCATCAATAACAGAAATTTCTCAGAAGAGGTCTACTTTAAAGATCTCTTGACAAAGAACACAACTAACATGTATCACAATCCATAAAAGGAGAGCCATTGTTATGACAAAGAATATGATAGCCACCAAACTACTATTGAGGCTCACATCATTAATTCCAAGAAAAGGGTAAATCAACAAATTGTGTGCAGAATAAGTTGAAGCTAAGATGTTAATTTACCTTGGATAAAAAACCATCCTTGGCTAGCTTGTAATTACTATCAACATGATTCTTTCCCACGACACGTTCGTCCACCCAAAATATATACCACTTGGCCCAATCAACCGTTTTGCTATAAGGGGCTTCACATAGTTTTCTGCTTCCCCAGTATTTCAAACAAAATTTACTACCTTATAGAGAAGACAACAGAATAAATGTAAGCAGATAGAGAATGCACTTACATACCTCATTAAGCTGATGAGAGATCCACCGGATAACGCAATGGCAAATACTCCCCTCTCTTTCACAGAAGCTTCTGATAGTTCTGAAATATAGTCTGCCAGATCAGCACTTAGTTCATCCAAATACTCATAAATCCTCACCTCTCTTGCATCTTCTTTAGCTCCAGAAAGAGCCATCCTTCTCTAAAGGATGTTAGAGAATACTTCTCTTCTGCACAAATCACAACATACAAGAAGTGAACTGCAGGGAATGTATTCACTTCGATTCGCCTGACGAATAAAAACAAACAAGTATGCCTCAATCCCAAGCAAGTTGGTGTCGGCGATATGAATCTTCAGTGTCTATGTCGCCCATTTATGCTCGTCGCAATCCAACACTAATTTTCTCTCTCTCTCTCTCTCTCTCTCTCATTTCTGCTGCATATAAATTCACTGGACTGATAAATACATGCATAGCAATCCCATAATGCTCGTTAATGAAGTCAAAATACAGATTCACTAATTCTACGATTCCAAAGAAAATTACAGCCTTCTTATTTTTTGGTCAATTCTATGTTCTTGAAGTCTCTGTGAAAGAATTCAACACTAAAGCAAAATGACAATTCAGTAAACAATTTACATGTACCTCCCCTGTACATTACATAATTACAACAGTACAGCTGATCTTTGACATTTCAACTAGAACATTAACCACGCCTAGACCCTAAATTAGTTGTTGTTTGCTGTACGAATCCTCAATAATTTGGCATTCTCAAAACTAAAAGCCTATTCATCAACAACCTAAAAGTGGTAACAGTGGATAGAGAGTAACAATCAAACAAGTAGTGCATATAAAACAACCAAAAGGGAAAATAAAATAAGTTGAAGAAGTACTTGAAAACCTTGAATCAAGTACATGCAAGTCAAGAGAAGTTTCACAAACATCATTACAGACAAGACCCAGATCAGAAAAAACTTCACCCTTTATCATCAATAAACTTGGGATCACAAAGCCCAGCAAGTAAACGTAGAGTGTTAAAAAAAAAAGATTCTTAGAATCATAAATCCATTCAATATTTTTATATTTCTGCAACCAGAACCACTGAACCAAGACAGAGAAGGACAGAGTGTCTTACAGAGATGAGAATGCAGAGAAAAGGGAAAATGGAAAATGGGTATCAGCAATTTCAGATTTTCAGTACAGTAATAAATATGTATAGACAAACAGATACCCACACACACCAACACCATAAGTAAGCTAATAATATGTGACATATTTTCCTGAATATAAATATGACATACACAGGAGAATTTACTTTCTGGGGTTCCACGTGCATCCAATAATCACGACAAAAAACTCTCTCCAAAGTAAGCGGATGATTATCTACTTCTGAATAAGCAGATAGGATAAATAAGGAAATAAATTGATTTCTTTCCTACATCTTCTGCTGAATTATCTCGCGATTGATTAATTAAATAATTTAAATTTATATCTACAAAGAAACAATGATCACGGTACCAGTATGAATGAGATATCATGTTTTGGTGATGGTACTAAGTTATGTGGTGTTTGGATTAACTTATTTTAAGTTATTATTTGTTTTTAAGTATTTTTTTTTGTCGTATTTGGTAATGATAAAAATATTTAAAAATAATTATTTTTTGGCATAAAAATACAAAAATAAATCAAAAGCCAAAAATTGAATATTACTAACTTATGACTTTCAGCTTTTAGCTTATAAATTATTTTTTAAAAGTCTATTCAAACACGCTCTTGAGAAGTTTTATTTTGTGTCTCATACAACTTACACTAGTTGTATGAGACTCCTTTTTGTCTCACAAATTTGTGAACCCCAATCTTATACTTTTGGGTCTACAAAAATCAATCTGGGTCCATAAAACTGTGAGATAAAAATATTGCCTTATCAATTTGACAATTGAATTGCATCATATTTATTTGAATATTTTAATCTAGGTAATGATTATCTTCCTTTAGCTTCTCTCTCGCCCTTTTAGCTTTATTTATTAGGTGTTTTTTTAATTCTTATCTGGCTGTCTCCAGTCTCCACATAACCAGCCTAGTTGTCGCTTTATACAAGTCAGGAAAATGTACCTTACAATTTACATTACATGTCAATTCCTTATTCTTGAAACCTCAAAGTAAAAAACTGAGGAAATGTGCCTTTATGGACATTTACAGTATTAAGATTAACAATAACAATAAGAACAATAATAAATCCAGTATAATCTCACATAGTGGGAATTGGGAAGGATAGTATATACGTAAACCTTACTTCAACCTTATGGACATAGAGAGATTGTTTGCAATAGACCCTCAGCTAAGAAAAGCATAAGCACCACATTAATGAAAAGAAAAATAAGAACGGACAACACCGAGAAGCCAGTAAAAGCAACATAAATAACAAAAAGATAGTAATGTCACGCTCCGAACTCAGGGAGCGTGACGGGCGCCCAACGGAGATACCCCAGTCGAGCAAGCCTGCACAATGCCGTCTACCCAACTCACCCATGAATAAAGAAAAGATACATTTTATTAATTAGACAGTAAGAGGTCATGTGAACAACACCAATTCATTGCCATTAGTTACTTCATTAACAAGTCTCCAAAATAGTACACTACACAACCATAGTTTGAAGTGTAACATGTGATGCAATTACAACATTTTTAGTTTAGCTTTCCCAAAACAAGATACAACCCACACTATGTCTACGGAGCTTTTAACAGAAATAAAAAAGTGTTACGACAGTGCCGACAACAAGGCCTCGGCTATATATCAAAATGCTATGTACAAAGGACAAGAGATACAAGACCCCGAAATGAAGTAGGGTTCATCAAGTCAGCTAAGGATATGGTGTAGTACTATCACTGGTCAATGTCACCTGCTGTAGAACTACCTGCATCTATTAATCTTGTAGCGCCCTCGGCAAAAGGGACGTTAGTACATATGGAATAGTACTAGTATGAAAAATTAAACATCTCTTCAATAGAACGAGTAACAGTACAACGAGAAAGAAACATGGAATTAATGAGGGCCTTAAACAATATTAAAGTATCAAGTTAGGAGAAAGGATAAATTTCAAGCAAGTTTCAATACTTTTAAGTTGGGATATATTTAGTACCGATATACCACCGTATTTTTAGCAAGGAGTCCGATCTCAATCCGATCGGCTAAGCTGTCTCATCACGAGATGTCCACTCACAACACCACCATGTGCGCAGTATGTCATCCGATCTCAGCCCGATCGGCTAAGCCGTCTCACCATAATGTCGTGTGGGTCGACGTCACCTCACATTCTGCTAGCAATCATCACATCCCATTTAAGGGGAATTATCTCAACACATCAATCTCATCCCATATTCGGGGAAAAATCTCACCACCTCACATGAGAATGTTACCCCTCACTCACTCTTACACCGGCACGTGTAGTTTCAGGGTTAGGTTATTTCAATCTAACCTTCCTCGGTGACTAAACGATACTCCCAAAGCATTTATTATTTAAAGAATTTATAGCTCATTTTTATGTCTTTTCCACGTCTCTTCATTTCATTGGCACCAATGGCTCCAAATGTAATATCATTCTTGGCACGTTGGCCGTATTTCTTATTTCATGCTCACCTCTTTCACTTTCAAACATCATCATGGATTATCAACAATAAGACCTTTCTATTCAAGACTTCAAATATATAGGTGAGCAAATAAGAGTCTTAAGCACATTGAGATTTCTTACACAATTTAGCATAATGGCTTTCATTTGAAACACCACTTGAAGTCATAACATGTTAATACACATCCCATACTTAGATCACATTCCCGAAGGATAACATAATAAGATAAGAGCATTCAGAACACATTTTGAATATATAACTTTCAACACAAAGCTTATTAAAAATAATCAAATTTATAATGAACAACTCGGGACTTACAGGAACATCGTGGGATTCAATTCTAAGAGAAAAATTTAGCCAACATACCTAGCTTCCTTTAATTTACTATAACGTTCTGAAACTCCTAGCGACTTCAATCTAATTAAAGACATGACAAAATTTAACTATAAATAGGAAGATTCTCGGGGGTTCAGCTCATTTGAGCATTTTATGCGGTCCGCAAAATGGGCCCAAAAGTGATGCCCAAAACTGGGCTGCCCTGGTTCAGTCTGCGATAAGGTCTGCGGTCCGCAGACCAGTTCTGTGGCCGCAAAATAGACCGCAGAATCACCCTCCGAATTTCTTCATGCTAATTCTGCGAGGAAGTGCGCCCCGCAAAACTATTATGCGGTCGCATAGTTGACCACAAAATGACCTTGCCCATTTTTCTGTTTCACTCCGCTGCGGATCTGCGATCCGCGGAGTAGTTCTGCGGTCTCATAATGCACCGCAGAAATGCCCTATTCTGAAATAATTTTTTCGTCAACTCCCCAATGCACTGTTCAACCCAAAAAGCCGCAAAGAATTTCTACCATCATCAAACACGTAAGCCTACCTTCGCGTCACGAAACCCCGGGTTCTAGGTGAAATTTTACGGGCCTTACAAGTAAGATGACCAAAATGTAAGAGACCACAAGTAGTCATATAAACCTAATACCAACAGAATATGAAAGTACGATCTAATACTACCGATACGAACAATCTAGAATACCTAACCTACTATCCTAATCCTCGACCTCTACACTTTCCTATCAAGGGTCATATCCTCGGTCAGCTGCAATTGCGCCATGTATTGCCTAATCACCTCTTCCTAATTATGCTTTGGCCTACCCCTACCTCTCCTTAGGTCCTTCAATGTCAACCCCGCATACCTCCTTACCGGGGCGTCTGTATTCTCCTCCTCATATGTCCAAACCATCTAAGTCTTGCTTCCCCCATCTTGTTCTCAATAGAGGACACACCCACCTTGTCCCAAATAACTTCATTCCTAATCCTATCTAACTTAGTGTGCTCGTACATCCATCTCAACATTCTCATCTTTGCTGCCTTCATCTTCTGGGCATAGGAGCTCTTGACTGCCCAACACTCAGCCCCATACAATATAGTCGGTCTGACCATCGCGCTCTATAGAACATACATTAAGTTTTGGTGGCACCTTCTTGGCACACAAAATACTAGAAGCAAGTCTCCATTTCATCCATCCCGCCCCAATACGATGTGTGATATCTTCATCAATCTCACCATCCCCATGTATAATAGACCCAAGGTACTTAAAACTTCCACTCGTAGGGATGACTTTTGAATCCAGCCTTACCTCTCCTTCTACTATCTGAGTCGCACCACTGAACTTACACTCCAAGTATTCTGTCTTGGTCCTGCTCAACTTGAAACTTTTAGACTCTAGAGTCTGCCTACATATCTCTAATCTCACGTTAACACCGTCTCGCGTCTCGTCAATCAAAATAATTTCATCTGCAAATAATATGCACCACGACACCTCCTCTTGGATGTGGCGCGTCAGTACGTCCATCGCCAGGGCAAACAAAAAAGGTCTGAGTGCCAACCCTTGGTGCAACCCCATCATGACCGGAAAATGATCTGAGTCCCCTCCTACAGTCTTCACCCGGGTCTTTGATCCATCATAAATGTCCTGAATCTCCCTAATGCAACCCTATTTACAATGTTGAAATTAAGAAAATATTTTTTTTAGATTTTCTATACGTAAAAGGTAGATATCTTATGTGTAAAAGCAAATCTTCCACGTGTAAAAAAAAAAAAAAGAAGATAAAGTCATCAAACTAAAAATAATTTTATAATGACCCACAAAACCATTTGACCTCGTTCGCGGTTTAACATGACTTAATATTTTTAGGTCAAACTTTTTATATAGAGTTGAATATACGTTAAATAGATATAGATAAAGTTAGATATACATATCAGAACTCAATCTTCACTTCAAGAAAGTATCTAAATTCTGGATTTGTTATTGCCACTCCCCCTTCTTTTATTATTATTATTATAGTTATTATTAGAAGCATAATGTAGAGTAGTCCAACAACTTGATTGGCTTTCTTGTTAGGAGTCCTGGCCTGATAGTAACAGGCATTTGTAGTTTGGTCATAACATTGTATTTTCTAAATGAATCACAGAACCGGGTATCAAACAAATCATCTACGTTTTTAAATAATTGTAGATGCTTTTCTATAATGGTTTTGAATCTTTTGATACTTTTAGGTTTGTGCAATTCATTTTTCTTGAAGTCCTTTGAAAAATTAGGTATAAACTTGTATTCTGGTTTTCCTTTACGTGCTTCATC